TTGGCAGTAGTTTCCTATTTCCCCAAACATCCCCACCCATGGCAACCATCAATCTGCTTCTCTCTATGGACTTGCTATTCTAGACACTTCATGTAAATAAAATCATACAATATGTGCTTTGGGCATCTGTCTTCTTTCGCTTCGTATGTGTTTTCAAGATTTAACTATAGTGTAGCATGTATCATCACTGTATTCCTCGTTATGGGTGAATAATATTTTGCTGTATGGCTATACCACAGTTTATTTACTCATTTGTCAGTTGATGAACATTTGGGTTTTTTCTTCTTTTTGGCCACTATGAATAAAGCTTGCTATGAACGTTCACGTACAAGTGTTTGTGGGAATATACGTTTTCCTTTCTCTCGGAATGAAAGTGGAATATACATATATAATATACCCACGAGTGGACTGCTACATCATATGGCAACTCTACTGAGGCTTTTGAGGAGCTGCCAGACTGTCTTCCAAAGCAGCAGCATGGTATAGTCCTTGCACAGTGCATAAGGGCTCTAGCTTGTTCAAATCCTCACCAACACTTGTTAGCTGTCTTTATTATAACCAGCCGAGTAGGTGTGAAGTGCTATCACACTGTGGTTTTGATTTGCATTTGCCTGGTGACTAATGGCGCAGAACATCTTTTCATGTGTGTCTTGGACATCAGTCTGCTTTGAAGAGACGTCTGAGCAAACCCTTACTCCATCTTAAGAGCAGGTTATTTGCCTTTTTAGTTTTCAGGTTTAAGAGTTATCAATATATTTTAAATTCAAGTCTTTTATCTGTCATGTCACTTGTAAAAATATTCTCACATTCTTGATCCTTTTCACTTTTTGATGGTATCATTTGAAGAACAAAAGTTTTTAATTTTGATAATGTCCCATGTATCTAGTTTTTTCTTTTGTTCTTTGTGCTTTCAGTGTCATATCTAGGAAATCAGTGCCTAATGCCTGGACATGAAGATGTACCCTATGTTTCCTAAGACTACTATAGTCTTAGCTCTTACACTTATGTCTTTGATCTATTTTGAGTTAATTTTTGCAGGTGGTGTGAGACAGAGATCCAACTTCATTTTTTTTTTTTTTTTTTTTGCATGTGGATATACAGTCATCCACCATCATTTGTTGAAAAGACCATTCTTTCCCCATTGAATGGTCTTGATACCCTGGTTGAAAATCAACTGTCACTGCAAGGGCTCATTTCTGGACCCTCAATTCTATTCCATTGATCTTTATGTCTATTCTTATTATCCATTTGCCAAAATGTCTACCCAATGTTTATTATTGCCACTTAATAGTAGGTTTTGATATCAGAAAGTATGAGTTCTCATAGTTCTTTGTTTTCAAGATTGTTTGGGGGTATTCTGTGTTCCTTAAGTTTTTATAAGAATTTTAGGATCAGTTTATCAATTTTAGTATTGCAGGCATAATATAAAGTCTTCCAATGCATGAACAAGAGATGTCTTCCACTTATGTAGGTCTTTAATTTCCTTTAACAATGTAGTTTTCTGAGTTTAAGTTTTACATTTCCTTTATCATATTATTTCTGAATATTTTATTCTTTTTCATACTATTACAGGTGAAATGGTTTGGCTGTGTCCCCACCCAAATCTCATGTTGAGTTATAGTTCCCATAATCCCCACATGTCATGGGAGGGACCCAGTGGGAAGTAACCAAATCATGGAAGCAGTTACCTCCATGCTGTTCTTGTGATAGAGAGTTCTGAAGGTAGCTGATGGTTTTTTGTTTTTTGGGTTTTTTGTTTGTTTTTTTGAGACAGAGTCTTGCTCTGTCGCCCAAGCTGGGTGCAGTGGCACGATCTCAGCTCACTGCAACCTCTGCCTCCCAGGTTCAAGTGATTCTCGTGCCTCAGCCTCCCGAGTAGCTCGGACTACCACCACAACCAGCTAATTTTTTTGTATTTTTTTTTAGTAGAAATAGGGTTTTGCCATGTTGGCCAGGCTGTTCTCAAACTCCTGACCCCAGGTGATCCACCAGCCTATGCCTCCTGAAATGCTGGGATTACAGGCGTGAGCCACTGTGCCTGGCCATCCGATGGTTTATAAGGCAGTTTTCTCTGCTCTTGCTAGCCATCTCTTTCCTGCTACCGTGCGAAGGTCTGTGCCTCCTTGTCACCATCTGCCATGATTTTAAGTTTCCTGAGCTCCCCCAACCCCCAAGCTGTGCAGAACTCAGTCAATTAAACCTCTTTCCTTTATAAATTACCTAGTCTTGGCAGTTCTTTATATTAATAATAGCGCGAGAACAGGTTAATATAACAGGTGAAACTGTTTCTTTATTTGGTTTATTCATAGCTAATGTACAGAAATAAAATTGATATTTACATGTTGATTTTATATCCTGCAACCTAACTGGACCCAATACTATGTCAATCGAGGAAAACGACCAAGGCAAGTCTCAATCATTTTAGGAGGTTTACTTGCCAAAGGTAAAGATGTGCCTGGGAAACAGGTCTATGCCTTTCTCAAGAGATGATTTTGAGAGCTTCAATATTTAAAGAAGAAAAGGGTGAGATATTGAGAAATGTACAATTTTCATGTGAGAGGGAGGTAGAGGAAAAGAGTCATTCACGTCTTTGGCTTTGTGAATATGCATTTTTACTGAAGATAATGTAGATGATAGGGCAGAGGAAACAATCAGATATGCATTTGTCTCAGGTGGGCAGAGGGATAGCTTTGAGTTCGGTCCTACGTCCCCGCAACTGTAAAGATAAGTATCAATTTACATCACCATGACAAATTTTAACAGAAATGTTTTAGGATAAAGATCTTGGGACCCACAGGGGAGGTGTGTAGCTTTTCATCTTTGTAGCCATCTGGTTTAGGAACCAAAGTGGGAGGCAGACTTGCATGACCCAGTTCCCAGCTTGAGTTTTTTTTCCCTTTGGCTTAGTAAGTTTGGGATCCCAAGATTTATTTTCCTTTCACAGTTAGTTCTACTTGTTTTTTGGTGGATGTCTTATATATAAGATCATGCCGTCTTTAATAGATAAGATTTACTACTTCCTTTCCAATTTGAATACTTTTCATTTATTTTTCTTGCTTAATTGCCTTGGCTAGAACCTGTAGTACACTGTTGAATAAAAATGGCAAAAGTAGACATTCTTGTCTTTCCCTGATCATAGAGAAAAGCCGCCAGTCTTTGACCATTAAATGTAATGTTAACTGTTGGTTTTACACAGATGTCTGCTATCAGTTTGAAGACGTTCTGTTCTCTCCCTAGTTAATTAAGTGCTTTTATTATAAAAGGATGTTGGATTTTGTTTTATATATGTATTCTGCATCTATTGAGATGAATGTGTGTTTTGATCATTTATTCTGCTGATATGGCTTATTACATTGATTGATTTTTGGATGCTAGAGCCATACTACTCTGACACATGGCAGGTGTGGTAGCCTCTGGTCTTCTCAGCTTTTCTATTGGACACAGAATATATGTTTACCTACCCCAGCAAGTAAGCTGGAGTGAGGGCAGTTAGGACCCCTGTAGTCCTGGCCTGTTATGCCTAGCAATAGTCTCCATCCATGAGTGGGAACTTGGTGGAAAAAGGGAGCCTCCTGCTTCTTGGCCACACTTAACTGGAATTTAGCCTTAAACCTGGAGTTGGAGTGGATGAGAAATGCTTGCATCCTTCCCTTTCTTGTGAGACACTTTATCCTTTGTTTGAGAGAGGAAGGGAGAGCGAGCCCCATCTTGCTGACCACATCCACCCACAGTGGAACTTCTATCAAGTTGAGCTAGGTATGTATGGGGAGGGAAGGAGCAGGTTATGGCTGAAATGCCACATACTCTCTCTGTTCTTACCAAGTTGTGATAGATTTTCTTGAATAAATTTTTTTCATTTGTTGTATATCTTTAAGACAATTTCCAGAAACTTTTAAGTTGTCTTAAAAATCATTTTTACCAACTACAGTTGTTTCAGTGGGGAGTGTATCCACAGAAGTGGGATTCCCTTCATGTACTTTTTAGAATCTCGGGGTGGTAATGATGACACACTATTGTGAGCCCTGGGGTGCTATCCTTTGTAGTTTTCCAATATCTTGCCCATACCTTTCTAAATAGCCATTTTATTAAAATTTTCCTCAAATTGCCCAATCTGAGTGATATGGTTTGGCTCTGTGTCCCCACCCAGGTCTCATCTTGAATTGTAATCCCCACATGTCAAGGGAGGAAGGTGACTGGATCATGGGGACGGTTTCCCCCATGCTGTTCTCATGATAGTGAGTGAGTTCTCATGAGATCTGGTCCTATAAGTGTTTGAGAATTCCTCCTTCACTCTTCTCTCACCTGCCTCCATGTAAGATGTGCCTACTTCCCCTTCTGCCATGATTGTAAGTGTCCTGAGGCCTCCTCAGCCACACAGAACTGAGTTAATCAAACATCTTTCCCTGATAAACTACCTAGTCTTGGGTATTTCTTTATAGCAATGTGAAAACAGATGAATACACTGAGCATTCCACATATTTCTTGCTGCAATCCAGACTGACACATGGGAGTGTTCTAAGCACGGAGGCGACCAGGGCTAATCATCTGTTCTCCTCTCCCACCATTTGTCCCATACTGGCTGACTAATCCACATCCCAGAGCTTCAAGAGCAGGTTCACTGGCCAAAGAGCCCCATGAAGGGAGATGGGCCACTTGATGAACACTTGCTGTGGTTTCTTCATGACATGAATCAGACTGATCACGTGGCCCTAGACCCGGTTATGGAAACTTTGATCCTGAAGCAAATGGGCAACCAGTATGAATCTGGTGGGACGGCACCTGAACCCCTTGTGACATCACTTTTTCAGGGGCCTTATTCATAATAAATGACTCTATAGTTCCCAGGAGAAAATGGAGCAGACCGCTTTGAAAGGGTAGAAAATAGGACCAAAAAACATGAAATTTCAGAGTTTTGAGTTAGCCATTGTGCTAGCCCAGTTTTGCGTTACTATAGAGAAATACTTGAGACTAGGAAATTTATGGAGAAAACTTTTTTTTAACAGATTTTACAGATTTATTTTTAAAAAACGAAAACAAAGGTTAAAAAACTCCTTCACGTCCAACCCTGCCTGGGGGTGTGGGTAGGGAATAGAAGAAGCTCAGAAAGGTGCCTACCCGCTTCCTACAAAGGACACGGCAGGTCAGAGGCAGACCCTCGCCCTTCCTGCCCTGTCTCCTCCGCAGGTAGCTCAAATTGCTGCTAGGAAGTTTTATAGGAAAAGAAGTGTGGGTGTGCAAGGCAGAGAGCTGCCTTTTTCACATCAACAGAAACTCCAGCTGTTCTCTCCCCTTAGAGGTTTTCCAGGCCCTACCACTGGGACAACCAGGGTGGATGGGCAGGCAGGCAAGGAGGCTCAGCCCTCTGGGCTATGTGGCCCAGCCTACTACAGCTTTCTTAATGCTCTTTGTGAATCAGGAGGGCAGTCAGACTTGCTTCTTCCCAATCTTGGCTCATGATTCTGCTGGCTGTACAGGAAGCATAATGCTGGCATCTGCTTCTGGTGAAGCCTCAGTAAGTTTCAATTATGGTGGAAGGTGAAGTGGGCGCAGACATGGTACATGGCAAGACAGGGAATAAGACAGAGAGAGGAGATACCCTGCTCTTTGAAACAGCCAGATCTCACATGAACTGCCAGAGTTGAAAACTCACTCATCACAAAGTGGATGGCACTAAGCCATTCATGACAGATGCATCCCCATGATCCAATCACCTCCCACAAGGCCCCCCTTCCAACACTGGGGATCACATTTCAACAGGAGATTTGGAGGGGACAAACGTCCAAACTGTACCAGCCGTCCCAGTATAATTTCTAGCCTCCTCAATCACTGTGCTTCCCCAGAGAAGAGTTATGGAAAAGGTGCATAAGGGGAAGACCGGGGGTGGCAACGGGTCTGAGAGCCCATCCCCCAGCCTCCGAAGAGCATGCTTCCCTTCAGCCCGCTGACCCCATCCTCACTGCAAGAGCACTGAGAAACACAGTCCTTCCCACTGCAGCACCAGCATCTCCAGGAGCAGAGGGTCCTTTTGGCTGCCTCTCTTTGACTGTCTTGCTTCTTCCCAGCCTTGATCTCTCTTCTGAGTCACACCTCCAGAGATGACAGCATTTTACACCACAATGCCCTTTCCTGTACCCCCTCTCTTCTCCCATTTACTGTCGAAAGTCTGGGGGAAAAGGTGGTTCCAGCACAGTACAGTGACAACCTAAAACTGAATAACAACCATCACAGCTCCGAAGACGCTTCAGTGCTTCACTGCCACTTGGAGTTCCTGGTGTTCAAGCCAGGGTCTCACCTCAGACCCCAACTGCTCCCAGAGACTCCTCTCTGCCTCCCAAGGACTCTCTTCCTACTCTCTCTGGCAACCAGCCTCCAAATCCCAAATTCCTAAACTGGTCTTCTAAGGAGCAGCTTGGTCCTTAAGTGACACCCCAACTCTACCTCTAACCTGTAATATGTATTCAAAGCCTCACTGCAATTTTCTAATCAGCAAAGAGCCACCTTTGTAGGTTTCCACCTCTTAGAGGCCCAAAGCACCTGCCAAAGCTTTCACATTATAGTTTTCCTTTTAAATGATCAAATTGTCAAGCAGGGCTTCTACTGAATATTTCTCTGCCCCTAAAGGGTTAGAGGCTATTACAAGCGTCAAAATCCTGCTCATCATGGTTCTGTCAAATGATCTTAGAATCACACTGCCTTCAGTCCTTCCCTTCCTTGCAGCTGTGGATGAAACTTTGTTGCTTTATTTCTCCAAAATATCTCTAGTTCTGCTAACCATGTATGTCAGCGGCTGTTCCCAGCCCACTGACTCAAATGTTGATCTCCTTATCTGCCCTTCTATTTAGTGTTGGCAATTCCCTGAAGAACATCGTAGTGTTTTCGTCTTCACAGAGATGTTGTGGATTATGTAAAAATAATTAAGGATGGCTGTTTCTGTCTTGAAATGTTTAATAATTTTATCTGTAAACTTGTGGTTTGTAACTGAGGTCCATTAACACAATGAAACATGAGCCAGGGAAACAGGCCTCTGTGTGTGGCCACCGATGTTCCATAAAGCATTCACGATGCACCATGCACATTGAATTCCCTGTGGACCCCTGATGTTGGGAGGCCACCAAGACTCAAAGTGAGCACAAGGTTCTCATGCTATATCTACAGCTGCGTGAGCTGGATGCTGACATCCCTGAAGGGCCGCACTTTTCCCCTTAGAGCCTAAACTTGCTTTGAAGGCAGAAAGGCGGCAATGGTGTCTTAAGAAACATAAAGGAACCATGCTGTATTAGTCAGGTTTCTCTAGAGGAGTTTATAAGTATTAACTTACTTGATCGCAAGTCCCATAATAGGCAGTTTTCAAGCTGAGGAGAAAGGAGAGCCAGTCCAAGTCCCAAAACTAAAGAACCTGGAGTCCGATGTTCAAGGGCAGGAAGCATCCAGCCAGGGAGAAAGATGTAGGCTGGGAGGTTAGGCCCGTCTCTCTTTTCACATTTTTCCTGCCTACTTTATATTCTAGCACTGGTAGCTGATTAGATGGTGCCCACCAGATTAAGGGTAGGTCTGCCTCCCCGCCCACTGCTCAAATGCTAATCTCCTTTGGCAACACCCTGACAGACACATCCAGGATCAATACTTTGCATCTTTCAATCCAATCAAGCTGCCACTCAGTATTAGCCATCACACATATCATGTATGTTCTTATTCATGCACTTCTTTATGTTAGACAACGGAGTATGCCGAAAGGCCAGTCCATAGTTCTTTTGCCTTCAGTCCTTCCTCACTCATCAGTGAGTCCCAGGCCGAGAGTGGAAGAACTTGTGCATATGAAACAAGTTCCCTTTGTGCAGCATTTGTTTTTACCAGCACGGTTCTGGCAAAAACAAAATACATATGCATGTATAAGCTATGAAGTACAAATTGCGTAACTTCTGTGATTCCACAAATGAGTTCAGTGCACTTAGAATTTAAAACTGGCATTTCACAACATAAAGATGGACAGTAAAATTCATGCTAACAATTTAAATCTAAATTTTTCTTTACTGAGAAATATATTAAATAACACATAAAAACACTACGAAAAGTTAAGAGAGAACTGAGAACAAAGAGAAAGCGTCATATTTTTATTACCTTAATGGCACCTTCCCTCTGTTTTCTGAACAAGGAGCTTTGCACTTTGAGTTTGCCTGGGCCCCACAGATTATGCAGCCAGCCTTGCAGCAGGGAACACATCAGAGCCTCTTTCCGGGGGGTCTAGTGAGGGATGTTAAAAACAAATATGTTAACAAATAATATACAATATAACGTTCGCTAACCATCAGTGGTGTGCTAAACTAAAGAGGCCAGGATGGCTACAGCGAGCCAGAAGGGAGATGGGAATTAGATGCAAATTCTGAGCGATGGGAAGGGCCCTGGATGTCAGGGGGTTGTGCAGAAGGGTAACCAGATCTGCTCCAAGTTTCACGAAAGCTAAAAGAAAAAAATCCCTCTGGCCGGGCGCGGTGGCTCACGCCTGTAATCCCAGCACTTTGGGAGGCCGAGGCGGGTGGATCACGAGGTCAAGAGATCGAGACCATCCTGGTCAACATGGTGAAACCCCGTCTCTACTAAAAATACAAAACATTAGCTGGGCATGGTGGCGCGTGCCTGTAATCCCAGCTACTCAGGAGGCTGAGGCAGGAGAATTGCCTGAACCCGGGAGGCGGAGGTTGCGGTGAGCCGAGATCGCGCCATTGCACTCCAGCCTGGGCAACAAGAGCGAAACTCCATCTCAAAAAAAAAAAAAAAAAAAAAAAAAAAAAAAATCCCTCTGGCTGAGGTTCCGAGAATGGCCTGGAAGGAGGTCCCAGCTGGAGAAGCGTGGCTCCGGGGGGCGCGCAGGGCGAGCCCGGGCGGGCTCTGCCTAACAAGCAGGTTTGGGGAGACTGAAACCTTAGATTCCAAGTTTTTAAGCTTGTCTTCTCAAAGCGGGGAACCCAGGAACGTTTCGTGAGCACCTACTGTGTGCAGGGCACGGTGCAGAGCCCTAGGGTCCCTGACTTGACCAGGACAGCCGAACAGCGGCAGGATCCGTCGTGTTCTCCAGCAATTTTAATATTTAAAAATGAGTTACTGTTGCTGTTATTTGTTTTCCACGTACTGGATGTCTTCATGACGAATCCTCAGTGGGGCAACAAACTCCTCACCGCCCGCGACCGCCCCGCCGTCTGAGCCCAGCTTCCGGCGCAGCCAGCCAGGTCCTCCAGGACACCGAGAGAGCCGGCCAGAGCGGCGACGTCTGACGGCGCCGCGGAACTGACGGTCTGTGTACGCAGGGGAGCTCGGTGGCAGAGGCGGCTTTAGACGTCATCGCGGGCGCGACGCCCGAGGGACAGTGTGGGGTCTGGCTGTCCGGAAGGTGCGGCGAGACAGGCCGGGAAGATGCCAGTGGCGGTGATGGCGGAAAGTGCCTTCAGTTTCAAAAAGTTGCTGGATCAGTGCGAGAACCAGGAGCTCGAGGTAGTCCTTTGCGTTGCGCTGGGAGAAACTGCGGAGTTTTCTTAGGCCCCGGGGGAGGCACCAGTTTCCAGGGTAGCCGGGTCTGAGGCTCCCGGGGCTGGCGCGGGAGGTGGCCGGGTGGAGCCCTCTCAGTCGCGGCGTGCTCCCACCTGGCCGGGTCTACCCAGAATCGCCGGGACCTTTTTGTTATTTTCTTCAGCTTGTGAGCCCGAAAACCCTGTATGTCTTTGCTCCAACACCTACCGATAAGCTCTTACTAATTAGACATCTTTCCTTCCCAGTGTCGGGTTGGGAGAGAGTAGTAATGTGGATTTTATTAAAGATCTTGGTATACACACACACACCCCAACGCGCGCACACACCAAGAAAGATGTGACCATTGTAACCTTTTAACTCACAAAGCCTTTCTTAGTCTCGTAATGTTGTTGCCAAGTAAGCTTGCCATTTTGTTTTTAGTAAGACAGATGAAAGTTATGCAGCTGTTAACGTTTTTCTTAGACTCTTAAAAAGCGTTTATATCATTAGTTTTAACATTAATTAACTAAGGGCGACAACATCCATAAGCAGCAACTCACTAATAGATATTTTCTAATTGAGTTAAAATTGAAAGAATTGTCTTTGCAACGCAGCTTTGGTGATTTTCTGTCCCTTAGTCATTCAGGACGCTTGATGTAATAGGCAGAATCAGAAAACTTTAGGAATCTGTTGAATTTGTTTTTTGTAATAGTAATATCGTTTAAATGGGAACTGGAGAACTGGGGAAGGGGATCCACATACGTATTACTGAATGTATAAAGAAACTGAGACCCAAAGGGAGATAAAATTGATGACGAATATAAACTTAATACTCAGGATTTTCGTGTTTGATACTTCTCTAAGCTGTTTCTAAATCTGTAATAGGACTGTAAGGTTCCTTATAATCTCAGATTTAAACGGCTTTTTAAAATAGCATTAATAAAATATTATTTTTTAAATGTAAGTTAACGGGTAAATGAGGTTTTTAAATTTCTTTTTATTTTTAATTTTTTTTTATTTTTGAACTTCTAGGCTCCTGGAGGAATTGCTACACCCCCAGTGTATGGTCAGCTTCTAGCTTTATATTTGCTCCATAATGACATGTAAGTACGTTCACCCTAAAGCCAAGAGCGACAGCTTTCTCAAAGATGTATGGAAATATTTCTGCACTGAAGTAGTACCACTAAAACATAGGCAGAATGAGCTACCTCTTTTATTATAATAACTGTTACATCTATTTCCTATTGAATCATAGCTTAATGAATTATTATTAGGTCTTCATTGTCTTACATACACTTTCTAGAAAACATTTCAATTTATTATGAGAAACTGTCAGTAAATTCCTTTCATTTAACCTTTTTGTCTTTTTAAAAACACTTTTATGACCTCTGTTTACTTAACTGCATGTATAATCAATAGAACAAAAGAAGTGGAAAAAGATTGCGACCAAGAAGAATTCATTACAAACATGTATGAGATTTCCTGAAAGTTGTTTTGTTTTGTTTTGTTTTTAAATTATTCTTAATTCATGTTCACATGGAAAAGTCAAAAAGCGTAGCTATGCTAGGCTGGGCCTGGTGCCACATGCCTGTAATCCCAGCACTCTCAGAGGTGGAGGAAAGTGAATGGCCTGAGTCCAGGAGTTTGAGACCAGGCTGGGGACTTTATAATGAAACCCTGTCTTTCCTAAAAATACAAAAAACTAGCTGGGTGTGGTTGCACATGCCTCTAATCCCAGCTACCTGGTAGGCTGAGGTGGGGAGAATCACCTGAGCCCAGAATGTCGAGGCTGCAGTGAGTCGAGATTGTGCCACTGCATTCCAGCCTGGGCAACCAAAGTGAAACCCTATCTCAAAAAGAAAGCATAACCGTACAGAAAAGTCTCCTGTAGATCTGTGACTCACAGATGATTCCTGATAAAGTTTTATTTTAAATTCCTCCCCAAACCTTTCTTTTATATCTTTTTAAAAACTAAATTGAAATTATTACACATAAATGATTTCTTTTTTATAAAACTATAATTATATGGTTGTCGTAGTTCAAGCCTCCAAACCCTTAAAAACTCCTTCCTCAGAAGCTCTGTACCCACTGGTAGGAGGGGCCATAATAGGGAGAGAAGTGTTGTGTGCCATGCTTCTTGTCAGGGAATGTTAGAGCCTTGATAGTACATAAATTTGTTTACTTTTATATCTGAATAAATTATTTGGGCAGTTTCATAAGTCTTTGTGTTTTTAGTGTGCTGTTGCCTTAATTTAGTATGTGGATTATTATTTTTAAAAAATCCACTAGAAATGGCAAAACATTATTTTGGTAAAAATATTTCATGTCCTTTTTTTCCGGAAAACCACTATTGTTTCCCCAAAACAAATTCATATAAAACTAAATTTTACTTTGTGTTATGTAAAGTATACTTCTGTACGTTCGCCTTGAGACCTGGTAGTTTTTAAACATTTACTGAGATGATTATCTTTTTAATTTATTCTTCTTTGTGGTGGTGTAAATTAGGAATAATGCAAGATACCTTTGGAAAAGAATACCACCTGCTATAAAATCTGTAAGTATCGTTTAAACATATCTTACTGCTTTAATGTAATGACATTCCCTTAAATGGCAACCTTTTATAAGTTTCTGTTTTCTATCTGACATCCTAGAAATAGTCATCAAGCTAGTATTAAAGTTTCAAAATAAATCTTCAGGGTCCTCTACTCAGAAATTTGGATTTTGCTGGGATGGTGTAGAAATCTGTGCTTAGTTCCTACTGATTAGATTTCTTGAGACACTTCTAAGTGCAGCTTCCCTACTTAAACAGCCGAGCCCTTTGGATGAAGGAAGGAGGTGGCGGAGGCAGCTGAGGTGGTTTTCAGCTGGTTTTTGTTGTTTCCGATAATGGTACTTCTTTTGAAACTGCCATTGTTTACAAAAATATTCTAAGAATGATTAATCACAGCAGTAAGATTATTTTGCTAATTAGGATTTTAGATTTCTTATTTTGGATGGGAGATTAGAAGAAATAACCTTGGAAAAGGTTCTTTGAAAATAGAATGAAGTAAAATTTCAACTTCAAATGATTTCATGTGTCTAACATGAGTGTAAAGTGAGATTTTTTGACATTCTCAGAATATTACCAAGAATTCCTCCGAACGTTTGTTCATTGTCAATATTCATCAAGAGATCAGATTAATGTTTTTACTTTTGTTTTCCCATATATTCTGTTAAGTAAGATTGGAATATTGCTCAGCTTCTTTGGCTAAATGAAGAACAACTATAAATTATGCACTTACGTTTCAATGATATTAGTGGAAACGCTTATAGAAGCTATAATGTATGACATCTTAGATTGACAGTCTCTGTTAACCATTTTGCTATTACTTTTAACGTAAATAAATAAATATATATATATATATATAAAAAACATATCTATGAAATACAAATACAACATCTTTAAAAACAATATCAAGCTAATTAGTCCCCAGGCTTAATTCTGAAATGTTTTTGGACTACTTTCTAATGCCTTAATTTGCTATTGTAATAAAAAATTTATATCAAGCCTATAAATAAATTTTACATTACTACTCATAGTGTTTAAAAATTCTTTTGATAGTGACTAGACTGAAAAGGTAATTGCATCTTTTAAAATAAATGTTGAATTGGTTTTAATGATGTAGCTAACAAGTTTTTATATCATTTCCAGGATTTTGTTTTAAGATACAGTCATTGGTACATTTACAGAGTGAATACCCTCTAAGGCAATAATATTTATTGCAGGCAAATTCTGAACTTGGGGGAATTTGGTCAGTAGGACAAAGAATCTGGCAGAGAGATTTCCCTGGGATCTATACAACCATCAACGCTCACCAGTGGTCTGAGACGGTCCAGCCAATTATGGAAGCACTTAGAGGTAGTGTTTCTTTGTGGTTAAAAATGAAATTAGATGAGACTTAGTCCCTAAGTGCTGCAGTGTTAAAGTAGTAAATTAGTGGTGTGTGTTTAAGTAGATACTTTTGATAGGTGAAAAGAGCAGTTTTAAGAATTTTTAGATTTGTCCTAATTTTCCTTTTTGTTTTTTAAGATTACATTGGCTGCTGTGCCTCCCTTGTTTCTTAATTCTAGGTAGAAATTGCTCTTGTCAGTTTTAAAAGTTTTTTGGCTATTAAAATGAAATTTTGTAGTATTCTAATAAATTTAAGGTACGGGTTTGTAGATATGTGAAAATAGAGACTGCTGTTTGACTTTTGTCAGCCTCAGCCTTTGACAGGTGTTGTCTTAAGCCTCTGGATTTTATAACTAATCAGTTTAATACATAGATGCTCAAATGCATTTGTAATTACTTTGAAAGATTAAAAGCCCATTGTGACAGAGCACTGATCCCGCAGTAAAATCTTATTTCTGCCTCTCTACATTCTCCCACCCCCTAACATTTGCTTCCAGTCCTCCTGGTTCACTCTTTATAAGATTATATAATGATCTTGTTTTATGTTGTGACATACTCTTATTTCTTATTGTTACCTTACTTCCATAGTTAATATCCACCTGTACTGTATGTCTTCCTGCTCTGGAGAGTCAGTGAGCAGGAATTTTTGAATAACTATTCATCACTCTGGTAAAGGATATCCACTTTACAGGGCAGCAGGACAGCAAAGATTGTTTCTGAGATTCACATAATTCCCGTGGAATGGTAAAATTCTTAGCAGCATAAAACAGAACAATGTAAATGACAAAACAGGAGGCAGCTACTTGAAATGTGAATTAAATGAACAGA